CAAATAATAGCTTATGGACTGATCCTTTAAGTTCGGATTGGACAAATTCAGGAGCCAGTCAGACCCTTCTAGGAACCAAACTGCTCCCCTTCTTCTCCTCCAGTCCCCTAGGTTCTAATATGGACCCTTGTATTTATCATTACCCCCAGATTTCACTAGCAAAGGGAACTCTTCCTAATTCTAAGCCATATTCCTGTAACATTCTATGAGGCAAGTGGACCTGTCTTTACCAAACTTGGTTGGATCAGTATTCCAAACTGCGCAAACTGTTGGCGCTAAATAAATCCTGTATAATAATAATAATAATAATTCCGCCTTTCAGTGTGTGAGGCCGGGTGTTCCTCTGTGATCTCTTCACATCTTAATGAATCACAAAATCAGTCCATCCATTAATTTGGCTTTATGTGTGTAGGTGACAGGTCCACCCCTGTGCATAGGAGGACTCAGCACATGAAAGAAACCACCATGAAATTACAGGGCACGGTTAATGATTAATCCTCAGGTTTTACATTGATGAATTAAGGTGAAGCCCGGCACTGACAGGCAGGCACACCCTGTGACATGAAGGAGGGGGAAGACTATTCTAGGTGAACCCTGCCCTCTGCTGGTGACCAGCGACTCTACACCGAGACCATGAGAGCTCTGCCTAACATGACGGCGGGTCAGATAAAGATGGAGGGCAATCGTTAGCATGGGGCCTTCCTGGCTGCAACAGTCATACCCCTTCCGGAAGAACCTAAAAAGACAAGTGAGCCATGGAAGTAGCCATAGACTGTCGGTGATCCTAAACCAGGGCTGGGAACACATTCTGGGTATCCGGATCAGGGGGCCAGCTTTTTATGGAGCAGCAACTAGCTGTCTTCAGTGCTGGGAGCCACCATTACTGCACACAAGTCTTCGCTGCCAGACGGAACGACTGTTGGGTGCTTTTGGCTGAATTGAAGAGTAGTGTAGAGTCCATGGTGGGCAGTTTTGGCACTGATGGGGTAGATGTGTCCCCTCCCATCAGTCAACTGAGAATCCTGGCCAAGTGACAGATTGCCTTGTAGGAAGAGACCCCCGACCACTGATACCCACCTTCGTTGTGCTCCTCCATTGCTCTGTCAGAGCTGGTCCTTTCAGGTATGGAGGTACATGGGACTTCCTTGCAGGTCGGAGTGCTGGGGGCAGGTCGGAGTGCTGGGGGCAGGTCGGAGTGCTCGGGGCAGGAATCCGATTGGTTTCTCGGTGTATTCAGTTCTTCACTCAGAGATTTATAAGGCCTGGGAGCAAAGCTTTAAGCTGAACTCTGGGGAAAAGCTACAAAAATTGTCCTGCACTGCATGAGTTTTTCCCAAGGAACCAGGAACAGGGACTGTTACTTACCATATACTTGGCTCCTCCGGCAGCCAGCACTCTCCTCTTCCCTCCGTCGCTCCGGGTTGTGGACGGGCCCTCAGCATCCTCTTGCAATGCAGGACGGCTAGTCCTGCATTGTAGCTGGCCATCAGACCTGCGACCACCAGGCAGAGTGCCTTAGAGAATAGGTTTTAGGGGACCGGTCGTGTGGAAGGAGCGAGGGATAAGGTAAGGGAACGTCTTTTTTCCCCCTGGTATGGAGCATGTCCCCCTCGCAGGGTGTATGGGGGGGAGCCCCGCTGCAAAGGTATTTTGTTCTTTTTTTGCCTTTTTCCCTGAAGTTCAGCTTTAAAGAAGGCCGATGGAGTTGTTTTTCCTCCTCCACCCACTCCGGATTGCCCCCTCCTCGGAGATAAGTCTCAGGGACACTCCGTCAGTGCCACTTATCCGGGCTCATTAAGAAAGCCGCCATCACGGTTGCCATGGCAGCAGTGCCCGCTCTGTCTTGCAGTGTCCTCTGCTGTCACATAATTGCAGGACCATCTGTCTCCTCATCTGACTGCGCCGAGCCTCCTTTCCCGTGTAACCAGAGCCAGCCGGGGGGACCGTCTCACCCGGCGCTCTTCCTCCAGGGGCGCCACCCAGCTGTCTGTCTGACAGCGACGCACCTCTGCATGGAGTGCTGCGCCGGGTCTGGCGGAGGTCCATAACATGTTACATTCCAGTGTCACATGAAAGGATACATTTATCATTGTGTCTAAGGGGAGATTTGTCTGTCTGTTACCCATAGCAACCGATCAGACATTGCGGGAAATTCATAAACACTGGAGCAGACAGAATCTGGAGCAGTCGGCTATGGCAACCAATCAGCTTCTCTCTTCAATTTGTTCAAGGAAGCTGAATGAAACAGAGAAGCTGATTGGCTGCTGCTCCAGATTCTGGCCACTTTTTATGATTATTACCCTTCATCGTCTTCTTGCACTCGGAGAATGAAAGGAAAGAATCCATCCTATATCACCGTCCAGCAGGCCCCCGCTCATTGTAGTTGTTGGTACGTCTCAAGGTGATTGTAAAATGTAAATTGGAATGTGTGTGGCCAGACTAAAGCGTATTCGTTGGTTGGAGTGTTCTATGGAGGGACTAGAACCTCCTGTCAGGTCCATTGCTGTCCCTGGGGAGAGTCTCCCTGTCTGGGTGTCCATTGTCCCCGCAACAGAGAGTGAAGGCAAATCAATCAATTCCTCTTACATACATTGAAGGACACCGCGGAGATCTTTAGATCGTGACTGTTGGGTTATAGCGCCAAGATTAAAATCAAGACAGTGGAGGAGCTACTAGGGTTGCAGCGGTCGCACTTGTGACCAGGCCCTGGTGTTCCGCCACTTTGGGGGTGCATGGAAAGGAAGAAGAGGGCGCGGCCCTGTTAACCACTGAGGCACTGTCATCGCCTCCTGGGACTACCGGAGGCCCCACCCACTACAGGCTGCCTGCAGAAAACTACGGGAGGGGGCGGAGACAAGACCAGTCACCCTGCACAAGGAGAGAGAGTAGCAGTGAGCGGTCTATATTACAGGAGGGGGCGGAGACAAGACCAGTCACCCTGCACAAGGAGAGAGAGTAGCAGTGAGCGGTCTATATTACGGGAGGGGGCGGAGACAAGACCAGTCACCCTGCACAAGGAGAGAGAGTAGCAGTGAGCGGTCTATATTACGGGAGGGGGCGGAGACAAGACCAGTCACCCTGCACAAGGAGAGAGAGTAGCAGTGAGCGGTCTATATTACGGGAGGGGGCGGAGACAAGACCAGTCACCCTGCACAAGGAGAGAGAGTAGCAGTGACCGGTCTTTATTACAGGACACTCTTGCCCAGAGGTAAAGGGGGGATAGGGAACATCTATGTAAATGAGATTTGAATTCTGGCCACTAGATGGCGCCGAGGAGTATAGGAATCACATTGTAACATGTGGTCGGTGTGTGTTGCCCCCATAAGGAGTGGTTGGTATGAGATTGTCTTATGTGTGAATTGGGGGTGTCCAGGGGCGGGGCCGTTAGATGAATGGGAGGTATAAAGAATGTCTCCAGATAATCACACGCCTCTTATTGTCCCGAGTTCTTCCATAACTAATTCCTCCTCTTGTCTCCTTCCAGGTCCACAGCAAGGACAAGAAGTACGTGTGCAAGGTGTGCAACCGCGTCTTCATGTCTGCCGCCAGCGTGGGCATCAAGCACGGCTCGAGGAGGCACGGGGTGTGCATGGACTGTGCGGGAAGAGGCGTGGGCCGCGGCGGCCACTCCCCTGACGCCATGTACTCAGGCGAAGGGCACTACATGGAAGACGTAGACGAGCTGAAGGTGGACGAGGACATTGGAGGAGAGGAGGAGGACGACGACATCAAGTGGAAGGACGAGGCGGAGACCTCTCAGGACGACGTCATACTGGAGGACGATGAGATCGAAGAGTGCACGCCGGACGTCAGCCGCGGCCCCATGAAAGAATTCACCTGGATTGCCTAGTCCTGCCGGAACTTTCTAAAGACTCCTCCGGAGAGACTTTCCTATTTTTTTGGGGGGGGGGATTGCTGATGTCACAGGC